AACGACTGGTAGGCGAATAACTGTTAGTGTTTTCACTAAATTCTTTCTTTTTGGTGGAAGACTTTTTCCAGCTAGTTTTTTCTGACACGTGTATCTTCTGTGGATGATTCCGATCCTTTTCTGATTTCTTCTTACTTAGGTTGATTTGCATGTGTCGTATCCATGTTCGACCCAAAAGAGGACTGTATCCGTCAGGATGAACAACAAATAACTGTTCGGCGGTTGATGTCCCATTGCTTTTGACTCTTACTGAAGCAATGCCCAGCGGAAATAGTAGCTCCCCTGTGTAAGAGCGAAATTTGACAGATGTTGGTGTTATAGTGTCCATTGAAATGTTTAAACGCTTTAAGTCTCCTCTAGGAAGTAGAGTGTGGGCGCAACCTGAATCAACTTCGAACTTTTGGGGCCGGTTATTAATAAGAACTGTCGTTATAAACTTATCAGTGTCTGGAAGGTGTATGTCATGAATGTTTCTAATTTGACCTACGCCATAAATATCATCAACGTCTGACTCCACGTACTGGTTATCATTATCTTGATTTAAGTGTTTGATTGATTTTGAACCACTTTGTTTAGACAGTAGGGACTTGATACATACCTTCAAAATGTGGCCCTTTTTGTTACAGGCATTACAGCGGACTCGAGATCTGTGCAGTCTGCATTGATGTGACGTATGATTGTTCTTGCCACACCGAAGACAAACGCCATTCAAGCCAAGAGCAATTAAATCAACTTGTTCTTTGCGCCGATAATGTCCTTGTAGTGTAGCAGAAGAAATTGAGCTGTTGCGACTGTTGTCGAAAGAACGACTGCTGCTCTCGCCTGACGAACGATGGTTGAATCTAGCTGACGATCGGTGCCTTTTCGAATGTCCTGCCAACTTGTTGACGCCTACGTTGCTGTAAGACGGTTGTGACTGCTGCGAAAACTCGTCTATGGCATTGGAATTCAGCTTTGAAGCTTCAATCGCTAAAGCTCGTGTTACAGCAGAGTCAAAAGTTAGATCCTTCTGTTGAAGAAGGTTCTCCCTTATGGAAGAATCCCTAATTCCTCGTATGAATTGTGCCCTGAGGAATAGGTCAGAAACAGAAGCGTTACAAGTAGAACAGGCCACATTACAAGTCGAAATTTGCTTTTTGAGGGTCATGACATAACTGGAAATAGACTCATCAGACTTTTGTACCCGAGAAAAGAATTTGTGTTGTTCGACAATTTCGTTTTGAGCAGGAAAGTGATTTGTCATTAAGGCAGTAAGCTCTTCGTACTTCAGCTCATTTACCTTTCTTGGCAACGATAATGTAGACAACAAGTCGTAGCCAGAAGAGCCTAGACTGTTAAGAAATATCTGGGCACATAGATCTTTGTCTGAGAAAACGTTTTTCAACTTTAAGTAGTTTTCAAATCTCTCTTTGTATTGAAAAAACGTTTCTTGTGTACAGTCAAACTGGTCAAAATTTGAAATCAGTGTTAAATTCTTTGATGGTTGTGAATCAAACATACCTTGAAGAGCTGTTGTAAGTGTTTGTAGAAATAATTGAAACTGTTCCTGGTCCATCTTGCCGTTTTCCTCGTCGCCACTTTAAAAAAACTTGAAGTAATATTAGATAATTGGTATAGAATAAATTATTTCAAGATGGTGTTGTAATGAGTCTTGTATTCTCAGAACAATGTTTTGATAATCACAATAGTAAAAACATCAGGAATAATAAATATTTAAAATAACATATGATTGTTGAGGAATGCAAATAGAAAATATATAACAGCCTGCTACCTGTGCAGCTGCTGAGGTGGGGTATCTGCCACAATACGATTCACAGAGTTCACAAAATGTTGATTGAAAAGATCAGGACTAGCCGAGCACTTGAAAGAAGATGACTGGTTTCTATTACAATTGATTATATTCCATGCCGCTTTACAAGGGTTAACCGCATTCTCTATGTATAGTTTATAGTTTATAGTTAGTTAATAGTTTATAGAAATAAGACCAAAAAAACAAATCGACTACATTGAAAAAAAATCTAAGAAATACAAATAACCCACATTCATCAACTGTTGAGATACCCTGTGGGTGGACACCTCATTGGTATGAAAGTCTAATGGAAAATAAAGTTGCCCTGGATATCTTCCAACAAACAAAACGTGAACTTAAGAATTGTAAATATTCAGTAAAAATTATGCTATTTATTTAAAGCCGGGGTTTAACAGGAGCGGAAGCAGATCAGGGAAAGCAGAGTAGCGGAGAAGCGATAACCTCTCTGTGTTTTGATTCCGCGCCTACGAAAAGACAGCTTTAAGTAAGATATGTTATTGGAAACTCAAAATAATCCCAGAGCGAAAAACATTCAAAAGTTTTTAAACGTAGATTAAATTAAAAGTTGGCTTTCAATTATTTAAGTTGCATCGCCATCTTTTAGTGTGGCAGTGGATGAAAGCGGAATACGCGTTTAAATACGTCATAGAACGGCCTCAGTCCAGTAGGGTCTCGGCTCCCTGGACTGAAACATCACAAAACAACAGAACATCAATGCTCTCTAGAGCTGTCACACAGAATCAGAGATTGTGATGAACCAATATGAGGTGGCTATTGATATGAAGACAGAAAAATAATGGGGTTCTGTGATAGTACCAAAGTTGGAAAACATTGTGGTGTTAGTTGGACTAAAAGACGATAGACTATAAAACCTGTGAATGTTACAATGATATTAGAATCAGATTATGACGATGTAAAAGAAAAGAAATAGATATATTTATAACACACACAATAGTATAGGGTTCAAGTAAATGAGATGGTATTAATACCAAGGAATGTAGGGTAGGAGATAGTGACTTTGCTATGAATGATGGATGGTTTCCACATAAAATTGCAACAAAATACAGTTAACACCAAACTATGAATGCTTTGTACATGTACTGTATTCATGTCTATGTCTATCAGTTACCGGAATAGTCGCCAATGATGCCGATGTACCAAGACTTGCTGTTGAGTCGCTGGTACTTGAGAGGCAGAGTCGGCTGGCGTGTCCATCCTCGGCCCTCATAGATCTCAGGGGAACTGCTTCCGCAAATCATGAAACTGACAGAGAACCCACATACGTGGTGATCACACTTGAATGCATGTTGATTACTTCTATTTACTTCTTATCTTTTTACTATCATAAAAATCAATGAAAAAAATAATATATATTTTTAAAAGCATTACTTTTCTAATTTTATTGCCAAATTATTGGAACGGAAATCAATGCAAACCATACAATTTTTCATCAAATAAGAGAGATATATTTTGTTGACAACACAGTTAAGCTACACTGAACATAATATAGAGTAATTTATTAATAAGATTCAGTTTTTACAAAGGAAAGGTAATACAATTGTTGACAAGCACTACAATTGTTGCCTTTTTTGGTGATGTTAATTTTGTTAAAATTACTATGTATTTTGTAACAGACGAAAGTGAAAATTTCTAGGGAGAGCAGTCCAAATAAATTTTGTCTGGTTGGATTGTGTTTTAAAAAGTACTTACTTGAACCGAATGTCTGGCAACTTATTGTTATACTCTCCATTGAGAATATAGCACAGTTCTTGACAACAGCCGAGTTGGTCCGGATCAGGTCCAGGAGAACGTTTTGCCTGAGGTCCGAGATAGTTCTTGCGTACGTAGCCGACAAACACATAAGGAACTGGGGCTTGGATACGCAGAGGGTAACCTGGCTCACGGGGGCCCCAGAACTGACGCGGAATGAAGTCTTCAATAGCTAGCATTGCTGGAGAACAAGTTGCAGTGGTTTAACAATGAGGAAACTATTTTATTACTAGTTTTATTGTATTGATTATGGATTACCCTGTGCTTAATGGATTATTTTATCACAGCATGACTGTCAAACCAATCTTCTATATTAATATTTAATAGGAAAGCATGTTTCTTTAAAACCTTTTTTCCCAGCTCATGTGCATCGCAGGGAAAATCTACGTTCTGTTATACTGTTAGAAATATATTTTCCTCTAGATGTGCAGAATCCCTTTGTAAATTAAAATAGTCTACAAAATAAACACAAAAGATTAATTTAAAATAAAAATAAAATAACATGGGCTTTATGGAGTGACAAAATACAACAAAATATAAACAGAAAATCAAAACAAATGAAAAAAAATTTAATCACATGTTTTATTAATTACAGCTTGTGGTGAAAATAGAGAACTCTGTTCATTACATATTTTTCGAGTTTTCAACCACTGGACGACCTCTAGTCTACATATTAATAGGCAAGCATGTTTCTTTAAAAAAATTTTTCTCATAATTATTATTTGCCATATACATAAAACTATCTACACATAGGTGCTCATTGTCTGACAAAAAACCAACAAATGGCTTATTCTGCATATTTATAATCCATAACATTGTAAAGGAGAAGTGGTTTGGTTAACTTTATTATAATCTGATATAAAGAAATACCCACTCTAGCGACATCAAGGATTGGTTTTTCTGCACAGCTTGATCACCAGTATTTAAAAAATTTTACATTAAAAATGTTATTTGTTCATAATCAAATTACTTAAGAGTTTTTTTAGAAGTTGTTGAAAATATATAACCTTTTACTTACACATTTTTATTTTTAAGCATCACTTATTTATTGGCAATTCAACATGGACAATTTTATGTTTAGGTTTTTCAACAGTTTGTGCATATTATTAGCATGCCAAGTTTCACAAAAACCATGTATACACCACGAGCAGACTGTTTCTTACTACATAAATCTCATTCATTAGATAACAACTAGCTGTCAAATTTGTGATAAGAATTATTAGATGTTGTGGCTTATTGCTGGTTTGTTATTTAAATAAAAATTATTGGTATCTTCATTTTACATTTTGGTTGAAAGGGAACAGGGTATAAAAAATAGTTTCTTCCAAGAGATGGATTATTTATTTATAAAATTGTTTTCACCAAAAAACATTTTGTCTTTACCCTTTCCTTTTGCATTTCAGCTGATTCTACTTGTTTGTTATGCCTTTGTTATGAACACACTGTAGGTAATGTCTTTATTCTCCTTGCTGTAGAAGTGATGTAGCATTGACACAGGGACGAGAAGACAATTATCCTTCTCTACATCTACGCTGACATCCATCCTTACTCTGGTGCTCACTTTATACTCCTTCTCATCTGCTTGGAACGACACCTTCACATTGATGTCATGCTTGGGTTTGTCGCAAAACACTGGGATGAAGGTGAACTTCAAAACTCCTGTGGCCACATTGAGATCTTTAACGAGCCAGAGGAAATGTCCGTATATAGAGAATTGGGAGGTGAAGGTGAAATCGGTTTTGAAATTTTCACAAAACGTACGGATGGGTTGTGTTTTCTCGAGGAACACCATTTTCTCCGGATGTTCCTGTTTGAAGTGATCTGTCAGCTCCACCGCAGGGCCTTGCCACTCACAGTTCTTGAACTGGGTAGGTTTGTAGGCACAGTATGACTCGTGGTCGTCTTTGGCGGTGACAAGGTACCAACAGTTCTTGTAGCGACAAGTGTGCGGGATGACATCAAGCACTTGACTGACGAGACAGTTCTGCACGACGTTGGAGAACGTTCTCCGGCACGTCTCTTGCTTGCCCCTACAATTGGTGCAGATGCAGTGACCGTTTATGCAAGATGTCGTGTCTTTCTGGAGAGCCTCCAAGCAGATAGAGCACTTGAAAATTTCACACAGAGCGAGAATAACATCCTGTAGCTCCTCTGGCTGCAGTTTATTCTGTAATAAAATTTGCTTTCATTTATAAAAATTCAAACATTTGTAACAAATCTTTATAACAGAATACTAGCTGTTACCCACGGGCTTCACCCCGTTTGACATCATAAGTATTAATAAAACTATTGATTGGTTAAGTTAACCTGAAATAAACAAAATAAAAGAAACAAATAATCACACCTGATTTTAATAAGGTAATAAATTGAAAGAATAACAAACAATTAAGTACAGCTGAAGTATTTTTTAGCGAATTTCCCATATAGGGAATAAGCTATTACCGTAGTACTCATGGTAAGACCTGGACCCAGGACCGATTTTTTTTTTCGTTTTGAGATCCCTAGAGGCCAAAAACACCATCCGTTCAAATTCATATATATATATATATATATATATATTTATATATGTGTCCGTTAGCGCGATAACTCGAGCAAAAATGATCCGATTTTGATGAAATTTGGTACAAACGTGTAAACCTATGTTTATTCGAACGAGTTCGCGAACCAGCATGATCGGACCATGGGAACGGGGGTTTATGGGGGCTTTTATGGGGTAAAAATGGGTTTTTCCCATTTTTGACCCAAAAAACATAAAATTTTGCAATTTCTTTCTAAACTATTTTGTAGAGCTTAAAAAAACAAATAATTTAGTATGTTGAAGCGTTATAATGCGCCTAATATTTACGGAGAAAATTCCAAAAAATTGTAAATTTAAAATTTCCATGTTATTCTTATGGAGAATAAGTAAACTGTTGTAGTTTGCTTGTTTATTAACATATTTTGCCCAAATTTGGAAAATGTTTTTATTTCTTACCAACTATTAACATTTTACATAAAAAACACTTTTACCCTCCCTGTTGCAGCAAACCTAAGTATGTTTTAAACTGATTCTTTTTAAATAGGGAATAAATGTGATATTTTTAAGGAGACATTTTAGTGTAAATCCATTCAGGGAAATGGAAATTCGCTTAGTCTGCAGGTTTGCTGCGGCGGGGGTATTTAACATTAGGTATATGAAAAGTTCCCTTTAGAAAGGAATTACGACCTTAAAGGGCAATTTGTGAAATATGGATAATTTTGCGCAAGGTTTCTCGTCATAACAAACAATTTAAGTATATGGTTTATGGGGGTGTGACTTGTAGTTTTCTCAAAAGTTCATGGGTACTTTTGGATTTATATATAGATGCTGAATTTGTGACACAAAAGCTGAATGTTTACAGCTGTTATGTTAAGCAAATTATTTTATGCCAAAAGCTAGTTTAGAATCTTAGCGTCGGCTGATAGACTTTTTAAAAATTAAAACTTAATTTCTAAAAAACTGGGACCCTAAACTAAAATTATGGCTTCGACATTCCATAGTTCTCAAAATTATCTTTCTTTCAACACAAAAATCATGAAAATCGGTCGAGTGGTTGATTCAGAATTGTGAAATAAAAAAACACTGTTTCGTTTTAATATTGTAGATTGGCTGCAAATCAATTTATTACCATATAAATAACAGCTTAATATACGTTAGTATCGTCTTGTGACTCTTAAATACCTCCTCCAAAGGCAGACGACAATCGTTTTCAGATCCTGAAGAACATCAAACTTCACTCATGATGAGGTCGTTGAAACATTAAATATGCACACATGAACATATATACAAAATATAAAATTTAAATATTTGACTACTGCTTTGGCCACCGGCATGCACTGCTTGGTTGAAATATCTGGACTGCAGTTTGGTTGGAAATAGTGTTGACATTTGTACTTTGTTATCACTGTTGTAGTTTGAGCAGGGTGTCAAATAATAAAACTAATTTGATCGTTTAGAATGTCTCCTGGGTTTTTTTGAGTCTTTGCAGGCCCGTTTTTGATCACGTCAGCGACCTAGACACAATTAATAGTAGCGCCCCTTTGCAATATACATACAAGGTGCCCACCAACCGGGAATCCGGGGATTATGCTTGAGTTTTGATTAACCAGGAATTATATGTGAATTTTGTATATCCACCTGGAATTTTGAATTTACCGCCATCGCGAATGACAACAGTGACGTTTCCATGACCAATTCCATGATCTTTAAAACCTTGTTAAAATTATCAGATAAGAATTCCCCACCTTCAAACTTGCGTTTGTAGATAGGAAGACAGATATTGAGTTCTAGTTATAGTATTGAGAACCTACTGTACTTATCACTTTGATAAGTACTATGTTTGAACAGTAATCAGTGAAAATCAGGTATAAATTAAACTGTTTTTAACATTCAGTATTGATGCAGTTATAGCTATTTACATTACAAGTGTAGTAAGAGCGTTTTTACATCACGCAGGTGAATGTTGTGCAACGAGCGAAGTCGAGTTGCATAATTCACCGAAGTGATGTAAACACGCTCTTGCGTAACGTGTAACGTACAAGATTTTACCTGACCCGACACTATTCAGGAGGTTACGAGCAATGCTTCATTATCAATTTCACTCATCTTAGTCATCTTCTAACAGTAACGTTCATTTACAAACAAAAGCTAGGTTAGGAAAATTCTTCAAAGCATAACAATAAAATTCAAACACACAGCTGATTTCTAGCGTTGAACGTCGTTGGCTCCATAGAGGTATATTTTTTAAGTTATCCGCTCAATGTTATTTAAATGGGTTTCATTACATCACCGAGTGAGTTTTTTTCAACTTTACATCACTCGAGAAGTAAGGAAGTTGTATACATCACGCTTGGGATAGGGAAGTTTAACATGGCGGGTTAGGTAAAAAAATAAAACAATAAACAGCTGATATTTTACAACACTTGTAATTAATTTGTTTAAGAGATTACCAAATTGCAGATTTTACTAGAATTTAAAACTCGTTTCCGAGGCAAAACCAATAATGAAATACCATTTTCCCTTTCAAGATTATTTTTGTTGTTGGTTGTGTATGTACAGTAACTGTTATTTCCTAATAACTGTTATTAGGTGAATAAAACTAATAATTTACAGTAAAATCCTGCGCGAGACCAATCTCGCGTGAACGATCATTCTCGCACCTACTTATCGACCTTGTAGCGTAATATACTATTTTCTTAGGTCAGTAAAAAAATACCACTACATCTACAGTCTCTATAGATGGATTTAAATGTATCCTTTAGTTTTTCTCAAATATGGAAAATATATTTTTTCATTTCTCAAGTGAAGAAATTATGGTTTTAGTATTTTGCAATAAAAAGATCTATATACTAAATAGCATTGAAATTATTGTAGTGGTACCTACCTGAAATATCATGTTTACAATATCATAGAAATTTACTAATAATGTTCATTTTAATGGTTAATATTGATTGAGGATAATTCATTCAGGAGAAATCAGGTACACAAAATAATAACCAAAAATATTTGTATTTGATCTTGCCTTATATACATTTTTACAACAGTTTTTTCCACCAAAGCTCTAAAACATGTAATGACATTGATTGAATTCAGTTTTAGGTAAAATTAGTTATGCATGGTTAAAACATTAAAAGTTACATTTGATTATTTAATGTAAACATTGCAGCTTTTTAGCTATATATATAATAAGATGTCTAAGAACAGAATAAAAAAGTAACCTTACACTAGTTTATAGAATTGTGATATCTGCATTTCCTTTTAACAGTTCTCGTATTTAGTTTTACCAAACCTTTAGTATAAAACAAATGCAAACCAAACGTCTTCTCACTAAGAATCTTTTGATCCATGATTAATATTCCTATAAGCTCATTCAATATCTCCCAAGGCAAACAGTGTCTGCGGAGCTTTTGTCACAGGATGTAAAGTTTTAGTTCCATTGATCGAGAGCCCTTTTTCTTTACTAAACAAATACTTTCGTACAAACAGCCGGTTGTTCTCATGGACATTGGGGTGTGACAGGTACGTGTCCATCTGCGAACACACAAGTAAAAATTGTTAAATCAAATTATTCTGAGTTTGTAGGTCATAAGTACAGTAGTACAGTAGTCTCGATTATCAAGCGGGAAGGTTGGTTAACCCAGAAAAAAGTTGGGTTAAAGATAACTGAATTACTAGTCATTGGAGCCTAGACGTTCTAACTCATAAAACAATTAAAAAACTACAAAGACAATTTCTAATCTCACAGTGACCCAGATATTTAAATTATAATGACTTTGGTGATTGAAAACATATTTTTGGATGATATTAACTATTCAGCAGCTGTTTGAAACTACCCAAGATGGCTGTTAACCTCCAAGGACTCTGATTTATCTATTGTCAAACTTATTTAATTCTTCATTGTAGATATTAGCTTCCAGATTGCCAAATAATAATTATAAAGGTTTTTTGACAGGACCCAGACTTAGGTGATAAGATAACGGACATACACCTACTGCACTGACCACCAGCAGTATAGACTCAAACTCTGCTGTGTTGTTTATCATAACTAAATAGTTATCATAAATGTGTTGTATACATGTGTGAGCCGTCTTTAAATTTCTCTTTTACAAGTTTAAAATGATATGCACTTGATATTAAGAAAAAAAACCTAGCTCCATGTAGAAGCTGAAACCAGTTGGACCTCGGAAACAGCACACAGAAAACCATAAGTGTTTGAAAAAGGAAAACAAAATAGTTCATGAAACTTACGTCCATCCATTGACTGTCTTCAATCTCTACCTCGCAGCTAGTGATCGTTGAACTCAGGGGGGCCAACTCTACAATGAAGTACAGATCAGAGCAGCCAAACTGAAACATATGTGTATTGTTTAGGGATAGATAGACCACAGAACCATATCATTGTGTTGCCTAAGTGGTCAAAAATGTGGACAAAACAAAGCACATGTTTCTTCTCTTGGGTGATTGTCGTTGTTGCAAGGTGGTAGTTTTACTCGGTAAGTCACAGAACACAAGAGGCTTTGATAAATCACTACGATTGCCAGCCTTAATGTTCTTCCTTCCTTTCAGTAAACATTTTCATGCAATCACTGATAATATCAACCATCAACTGAATTAAGTGAGTTAACATTGCAAGCAGAAAACAATCACTATAATCCGCGTAGCTCAGAGATAAGGTGAAATGAATCAATTTGAAAATTCAGAAACATTTAAACAATACAAATTGTAAGGAAGTCCCATTAGTTAAGTCATAGCCTCAGGCAAGACAAAAGTGGCTACACCACAGTCCCGGCCTACCTAAACAGCTGTAGCACCAATTCATATGGAGCGCTGTGCAATACTAATCTTTACACAATTGTTTTTACTGAGCCACATTGTTCGCTGCGACCTTGTGTTGGGGAGGCTATAAGTACTTAGTGCCTAGTACCTAGTTACAAATAGTTAAGTACCTAGTTTAGTAGTATTTAAATTAAAATAACAAAAATAATATATGGTTTAATACTAGTTGCTATGTCAAACATTACCAACAGCACTATCAAAAGTCAAACATTACATGTATACCTATGGTTTTTCAGGGCTTGTATTATATTTTGTTGAAAAAGTTATTGTTTTCATCTGTATGTTTGATCTTTATCTTCAAATCATTAACATTTTCAGTGACTTCAATGATAGTCAGACACCCAGTAAAATATTTGATCTGTCTTAAGTTACCTGCGCTGAATGGGAATGGCGGAAAGCTATTAAAGATTTGAACTCTGTCACGATATTGGTTTCTTCCTGAACCTCTCTCATAGCAGCCACAGAAATGTCTTCACCTAGAAAGTATTCCTTGTGAAAATGAATATTTTTTTAATTCTCAAAGGTCTATTTAATTTCTCTTAGGTAAAGAAGGAATCTGAATGTAGAATTAAGTATAGAATGAGCTACGGCCAGTGCTCGATTTGCGGCGGAACGGCGTTCCGGTAGCTCTTTCGGAAAGATAAAAATTTGGCATAAATAGATACATAAACAGTTTACTAAAACCACATTAAACAGGTTACAAGTTCTGGCACCTCATATTTTACAAATTGAGCACTGACTAGGGTAGACGCAGAAATTCCAGAAACCACAATATTCCATAGTAGTGCTATTTAAAAACCATTTGTTCTGTCAACAGATAGGTGTCCTTTGGTCTTAAGACTTTGATTTGTTTAACAACAAAATATCTTGATTGATTATTTGTTCAGAGTACACATTGATAATTACCTTTACTATTTCTCTACTGATATTGTACAATATACGCTTTGATGTAAATATAACTTAAGACCAATGGTTTAAACATACATTATACAAACTGAGCCAAGTGCTCATTAAGAAAAAAAAACTGACTTTATCTCTTATAATAACAGTTTCTCATTACTCCGGTCCGGAAACCTTTTCTTAATCATTAATCACTGAGATATACATTATATAGAATACTTTCAGTTTGAAATATCTAGAGGTCACTTCTCACCTGGCTCTACGTAACCACCCGGAAGTTTCCAGTAAGGCTGTCCTCTGTAAGACTCCTGCACCACTAGCAGTCGACCATCCTTGTCAACCACCACGGCTCCCACCCCCACCATGGTGTGAGCGAACACAGGCACTCGCGAGGGCGAACTGTCCAACCAGCGGACCAGGGAGACAGTGGAGCCATCACAACCAGTGTGGTGGAACCTGAAACAGTTCTGTGCTCCGTCAACACTCACAAAATACAAGTACACCATGTGAATTACATGCATCTTTTAAAAGTTGTATCAATGGTGGTTATTTAAAATTGTTACTTAGTAGACAAAGCGTAAAAAAAAGTAAAGTGCGGATGCAACCGTGGAAATATTGGTGTTATGAAGTTTGTACATGAAATATCCTACATTACTGAAAAAGCTGATAAAGGAACACACTGCAGCTTGTAGAAATATGTTGAGAATTACAGCAGTTAAGTACAATCATTTGTATACTGAAGTAGACATCCCATCTACATGGACTAGCTGTTGCACATTTTTTATTAAAAAAGAACAAAGTTGTCTGAATCAGTCACAAATTGCAATGTATCTAAAATTCTATTTTCTACCTTATATTTTGTCACTGAGATAGTTGACAGAAGCCGAAAGCTAGCAGAAGCTAGCTGAAAGTCCGCACATGCAAAA